AACCTAATGACTAAGGAAGAGATGTTGAGGCATGAAATGCTCACTGAATATCAATATAATCCAAAGTATTTACATGGTGCATGGTTTAGGGTATTTATAGGGGAGGGAGCATCTAGGGTTGCATTTGGAAGTGTATGGCCAAAATTTTCATGCCAAATTCACTTCAAGTGAAACCCAAATTGACCCTAGATGCTACTTGGTGGCCAAGGATGGAATCTTTGGATTTGGCTAAGCTACAACTAGGTGCATGATAAGACCATGCAACCTAGGTGCCCTTCACTTGGGCCTAATCCTTTCCAAGTCCAAAAATAGATCAATGCTCACCAAAAAATATGTCTAGGCCTATTTCTCACCCTAATAGAATACCCTAATCCAAAAATAAAATCCTATAATCTAAGGCACCCCATAATACAAGGGTAAAATGAGAAATACAAGTGAAAATAAATCATATGGCTAAAATACCCCAAAATACAAGGGTAAAATGAGAAATACAAGTAAAATAAATCATATGTCTAAGATACCCAAAATACAAGGGTAAAAATAGGAAAAATAAAGACAAGGGCAAAATAGGCATAAAAGATAAATTCTATGCTAATAAGGCTTAGGAGATTGATCAATGTCCTTTAACCACAAGAAGCATATCTCTAGGGGTGTTAGTTCCCCTCTCTTCTTCCAATCTCCTAGCCATGGACCTATTGATGGGTCCCACATGAAGCTTCAAGGATGGTCTTCCATCAATTTCAAAATGTATTACATATATATCCTAATAAAAATCCTCTTTTCAAGTTTTGCGGGTTAAACTTGAAAAGCCCTCCTTACAAGTTTTATAGATGAAACTTGAAAATCCATACCCTCACAAGTTTTATAGATGAAACTTGGAAACCTCTTCCTCACAAGTTTTATGAGTGAAACTTGGAAAGTCCTCCCACACAAGTTTCATTAGTGAAACTTGGAAATGCCTCTCTCATAAGTTTTCTAGTGAAACTTAGAAGCCCTCCTTCATATGACCTTTTCTCTCATTTAAGGTTGTAACCCCCTCCTCTACAAGTTAAGTGATTCTTCTCATCTCAAGAGCTTTTATTTATTGACCTAACATCCTAGTCTTAAAAAAAGAAACAAATCCCTAAAATAAATACAATATTTTTAATTTTAAACAATATCCTAAAGATGAATAATATATTTCTATATGAGAACAATATCTTAGAGATTTGAAACTGAAAATTTAAATTGTTTTCCCAATAATTTCTCCCTCAATTAAAATTTTCAAACTTTATTTTCTTGTTTTCTTGGATGCTCATCACAATCATCTTCAATCATATTTTTGCTCTATAGTATTTTTTTTTACTCCATTTCGTGAGCATTGAAATTTCCTTATGTCAATCTTCGATACTTAAGTGGTAGGTCATCAGGTTGCACAAACCATGAGCTCTGATACCCCTGTTAGGGACCAAGAACTTCTTTTTTTTTTTATGCATAAGGATAAGAGAACACAAACAAGCCAACACCGTAAATAAATAGAAAAAGATCACATAAAATTTATTTAATGTGGTTCAACCCTTTATGCCTACGTCCACAAGGATGTTCATTATATATCTCAAAATGTATTACAAATATATCCTAAAAATCTTCCCTTCAAGTTTTGTGGTTTAAACTTGAAACCCCTCCTCACAAGTTTTATGGGTAAAACTTGGAAACTTTTCCCTCATAAGTTTTATAGGTGAAACTTGGAAACCCCTTCCTCACAAGTTTTATGGATGAAACTCGGAAACACCCCTCACACATGTTTTATGGGTGAAACTTGGAAATGCCTCCATCACAATTTTTCTAGTGAAACATAGAAACCCTTATTCATATGATTTTTTTTCTTATTTAAAGTGGTAACCACCTATACAAGTCGGGTAATTCTTCTCATCTCAAGAGCTTCTATTTGTTGACCTATCATCATAATCTTTAAAAAAAGAAACAAATCTCTAAAATAAATACAATATTTTTAATTTTAAACAATATCTTAAAGACAAATAATATATTTCTATATGAGAACAATATTTTAGAGATTTGAAATTGAAAATTTGAATTGTTTCCCCAACAATTTCTCCCTCAATTTAAATTTTCAAACTTTATTTTCTTGTTTTCTTGGATGCTTATCCCAATCATCTTCAATCATATTTTTGCTCAACAATATTTTTTGACTTCATTCCATGAGCATTGGAATTGCCTTATGCTAATCTTCGATACTTAAGTGACAGGTCACTAGGTTGCACAAACCATGAGCTTTGACACCATTATTAGGGACCAAAAACTTCTTTTACACATAAGGATGTGCTAAGTAAAAAGATGATCTTGAAGAAAAACTAAATAGATCCAAAATGGGTAGAATAGATGGTTTATGTGTATTTGTACCTTCAACTTTTGTCTATGATGAAGGGTATAAAAAGGAAAGGCATGGTTGTGGCACATTATTAGAGATATATCATCCACTTGTTAATGGTGCTAGACTTTTTAAACTGACACTATTGTCTCTGGAGAAATCAGACTTAGAAGCTATGCTTCTAAATGATGGTAAAGGGGAGAGGAGAGTGATACAAATAGCATTAGACAATAATTTAGTAATGATGTTTGAGTCCTAGGCTATTGTATAGAGCTCATATTTGTTTTAAGTTCTATCAAAGATGCTTTTATTGATATAGTGAACTAAAGTTGGTTATGGTATGAGCAGAAACTATATTTTATATGTTTTTTTGTTATGATCTCAAATATTTTTTTTTGTGAATTGTAATCATCATGATTATGAATTAATGAGAAATGATAGTGTGTATTTCTTTACCAATATTCTACTTCTACATAAATTTTCCTATAATTTTTTAGTAACGTATCCAAGACGTATCATATCCTAAATTTCAAAAAACTGTCATATCTCGATATCCATATTGTATCTTACCCATGTCGTACTAAGTATATGGCCTTCATAGGCTGACAGCAATAAGTTCACAAAAGAGTTCAATGATTTCTTAAGCAGCCATCATGTTCTCCTCTATGATAATATGCTCTACCTGCACAGAAGACCACATGAAGAACATAACTACCAAAGAAAAAAGTACCGAAATGATTTTCTTGCTGTCCAGAACCATTGGCTTAAAATTCTCAAACAGAAAAAAAAATTCAAGATTAAACATCATATGCAAATCAGTTTTAACCTAATTCGAGCCGTGGCTTCTTGGCCAGTCTGAAGTAGCTTGGCAATATCACGCCGCATATTCTTCAGCTGAATCTCTTTTCTGTTTCTTAGCAGCTCTATACGGGGAATTGTCAGTTTCAGCAGTACAAGTTACTTATAGATAAATGAAATGTCAAAGAACTAACAACAACAATAATTAAAAAAAGAAACACCAAAATAGAACACTTGTCCAGATGACCTATTGCAATAAACATAATCCTTTAGATCAAACTGAAATACAGCCCTCAGAATTCATGTATGAACAATTAAACCATAAGTAGAAAAAAAACCCAATTACTGAGTAAATAAAGATAAGAAATAATTCAGGATAAACTATCTGTAATAGTTCAACAAGACTAATTGATGCACAGTACATAACTCCTTGAGGGGGAGCGCTGAAGTTCAGCTATTAAATTCATTTTCAAAGTATACAAAATATACAATTGCAAGAAAATAAATAATAAAACCCCAGATTATATACAAAATCAAATAAATAAATAAACAGTACCACCTGAAAGCCTTAAAAGTTGAAACCCTTGTGAAGAAGGAATCAAACATGGCCATGGTGCGGGTTTCGATCAGAACCAAACCCTAATCACAGAAAAATAAAACCCAGATACTAAATATCGAGGATTGCTGTGACATTTACGATATCGAAGACGATTTTGGAAATTTCAGGTTTCGATTTTTTTTTAACTTGAGACAGAGTAACTCCTGGAAGAGTGTGATGGTGAGGGACTATCCACACTAAGGCACTCAAGACATGCCAGACTCATTGTGACTCTTGCAATCTTCAGCAACAAGTTTCTCCTAGCCCAATTATAAATAAAAATACATAATAAGAACACATTTTTCTATAAATATTTATTAAACAAAATATTAAAAAAATAAATATTTCTCCAATAAATATTATACAACAATATCGCAACATTTATTAAAAACACTCATAATTATTTAAAATCCTCTAAATATTTTATAAAATCTCTTTAATTAATAAAAAATATATTTTGTTTTTAATAAGCTTAGAAAACTTGAGATGTTAAAGGTATTGTTGACTATCTTATTTCCATAAATGGGATATCAAAATTTTAAAAGAGGGTTAGTATGACACTTGCAAAATGTAATGAGATCTTACGACGAAACGGAGGCAATGAACATCCAATGTAGTATAGTGTAGTGAACCTGGCTGTAGCAAAATCACTATGCAAAAGATTAGAATCATGACTCATATATATTTGATATATTATATAGTTGTTGTGTTGGGGTCCTTTTCTTGTGTAATCTTTAGCTAAATGCAAATATGATACAGATATGGTTAAGGTTTGTAAAATAACTTAAGTAATATTCATCTCATATAGTAACTATTGCTCTTCACAGGTTGAGATAGGTTCAACTAATTTAAGACTTGACGTTTTCAATCATCTTTATTTAAGTGCAAATTTGGTCTTACAAGTCTCGAACAAATACTTTGCTTGTTGCTTTGTTGAAGGGTAAACTCCTTATGTGATTTCGTGCTAGGTTCAATTCAACAAAACAAAACCCTCCATAAAACTAGACACGGTTTGCTACATAATATTTTTAGTAAAATACATGTGCGTCTCTTAATGTAGTAAGTCACCAAGTTTTGATAATAAAAACAAGTCCCTGTCTTTTACCATAGGAATAGCATTTTACATCACCTGGATTTGTATTTCATCTCATTTAATCAAATCTCACTCAACAACTATTTGAAACTCAGTATAACAAAACTCAGTAAAGGGTTAAATGCTTTTGAATGCAAAAAGAATAAAAGTTAAATGCCCTTTTAAATGACATATTTAAAACTCATAACATAAATATCCCAAAGTACAAGCCACATGGTCCAAACCAAAATTTGTCTTTAGAGTTTAGCTGTTGATCTTAGAAACACTTTCATCATTCTCTTAGAATATGGTATATACAAAATACCCTATTTTTTTGTCAAGATTATGAGGGTAAAGGCCAATTTCTGACCCAATCTGTCAGAGTTGCAATGTTTCTACTAATGTCATCAATATTATCACTCTTCATTGCAATTACTTTGTCCTCCGAGTAACTTTCTTTAGCCTCCTCAAGCAGAACTTGGAAAATTTCACATTCAATATTGTTCGAAAGCTTTGAATCATTGTACCCTCTGCCACATATTTTGGGTAAGTTAATCTGAAACCAATAATAGAGTAGCAAAATCAACGTTCAATTACAGAAAATCGTGCTTCCATACCTTCTACTCAAACGGTCATATAAAATGGTGTTATCAGTTTGAAGTACAACCACACAATCAAACCATCGCTCAGGAAAGAAATCACAGCCATGGTAGTCCACAATGTTTCCCCCCTCTTCCATAACATTCTCAAGTTCATCGCAGACCTACAGAAACCACGCAAATTATACTCTTAAAACCTATATATCAGGCTACATACACAAGATGACAAGAAATGCGTCAACGAGGGGGAATAATATCATAATTGTTTCATATAATCCAAAACATCAACCAGATGCAGGAAGCAGTTCAATATCAAACTAAACTACTTGACACATAATTGAACAAGTAGGTTTCTAATACTAAATTAAAAAGGGGATTCCATTTACTTGTGGCAATGGACTGAACGAAGAGGCCCAAAGAAATTACAACTACGCTCATAAGGAAAATTCAGAGGAATTAGTTTTAGTGCTTTTATCGCAGTTGTACCACTAGAAATTAAACATTTGTATGGACTATGATAATAATTTCAAGAGTTGATATCAAGATGAATAAAGGAGGGGAATGGGTAAAGACAGATGCAAAAGGATTAGATATTAGAAAACCAAGAATACATGGCAATTCTGGCAAGGGTCTGTAAAGTGTATGACCAGAAACAATCCTACTTCAGTAAGTTACTGTCACCAAAGTGTTACTAGAAATTGATCCAGGAAGATTGTAACATTAAGTAGCATGCACCTTTACTACCAATGAAAGGAACCGTGACGTAGTCTCCAATTTTACGCTCAATATTAAGTAGCATGCACTTTTACTCCAAAAGAAAGGAACTATGACATAGTCTCCAATTCTACGCTCAATATATTTACCACCTCAAATTTGACAAGGATCATCATTGTTTAGTTAAAGATTAGAATCTTCATCTACTACTACTACTACATACTTCAAAAAAAATGAACTTCAAAGACCTTCATCAAAATCCATATGTTGCACAACAAAAGGATTTGGCTATTCTAAAATGAGATTTGTAAAATAAGGAAGTAAAGGTGTATCTACCATTCATTTGAAATTTAGAATTAAATTACCTTATAAAATTAACACACTTTAAATAATCAGTATATATAATATTAGATTCTTACTTACTCACCTTAAGATGAGCCAAATCCCAACTAAAAGCATAAAAGAATGATAATGATCTTAAATATACGAACTGGTAGCTTACCAAGTCTTCATTAATAACATAACAATCAAGCTCATCATCCCAGCCATCATGCAAGTTCTTTTCTTTGACTAATTCTCCAACATTGATGTGGCGGAGCTGGGTTGCTTCTGCTAGAGCAGTGCACACAGTTGTCTTCCCAGTCCCTGGCGTCCCAGTCACCAGAATGTTTGGCTTCCCCCTCTTGCCATTTTCGTGCACCATGACCGAAACCTGCAGTAACAAGCACACACTTTCACATGGAAATTGTTGTCTATATAAAGATGACATGGGACTTCTAATAAATGAAAAAATAAAAAATAAAACAAATTTTTAGGTTCTAGTACCATTGGAAAAGTGAAACTACACTATTACCGGAGAAGAAGCAGATCGTCTGAGAAAGAGGGGGAGAAGGGAAAATTGCGGCTTAGAGCAAAAGATAAAATGCTTCACTCATTGGGTCAAGAAACAAGACCTATATAATTCGAATGAAAGGACAAAAAAAAACCCTAAACCCCTCATTTAACGAGGGTATTTTCGGTTTTTTATTTTGTAAACAGTTCCAGATCATGAGGGCCCCAAGTGTGCCCTTTGACATAATCAAATATGTGATTCTGCAAGGGAAAATCATTCTGAGGTTGATAATCACCACATTTGATGCTTCATTGTTTTTCTAAGGTGTTAGAAACATGCTGAGAAGATCAAATATTTCTTACTCACACAGTGCATTCTTTTGAGAAGAAGTGTGAAAGTTGATCAAATCTTTCAAGATAGATGATTCAAAATTTTGTTAACTATGATATTCTTTCTTCCCATACTTTTACAAGCTACATCCCACTCTCTAGGCACCACAGATTCAGTCTAATGTGAGAATCAATGCACAGTAAAAATTGCAATTGTGTCTTTTGTTTCAATCAGATCTTATTTCTGACACAACTTGTTGCTGAAGATTGCAAGAGTCACAATGAGTCTGGCATGTCTTGAGTGCCTTAGTGTGGATAGTCCCTCACCATCACACTCTTCCAGGAGTTACTCTGTCTCAAGTTAAAAAAAAATCGAAACCTGAAATTTCCAAAATCGTCTTCGATATCGTAAATGTCACAGCAATCCTCGATATTTAGTATCTGGGTTTTATTTTTCTGTGATTAGGGTTTGGTTCTGATCGAAACCCGCACCATGGCCATGTTTGATTCCTTCTTCACAAGGGTTTCAACTTTTAAGGCTTTCAGGTGGTACTGTTTATTTATTTATTTGATTTTGTATATAATCTGGGGTTTTATTATTTATTTTCTTGCAATTGTATATTTTGTATACTTTGAAAATGAATTTAATAGCTGAACTTCAGCGCTCCCCCTCAAGGAGTTATGTACTGTGCATCAATTAGTCTTGTTGAACTATTACAGATAGTTTATCCTGAATTATTTCTTATCTTTATTTACTCAGTAATTGGGTTTTTTTTCTACTTATGGTTTAATTGTTCATACATGAATTCTGAGGGCTGTATTTCAGTTTGATCTAAAGGATTATGTTTATTGCAATAGGTCATCTGGACAAGTGTTCTATTTTGGTGTTTCTTTTTTTAATTATTGTTGTTGTTAGTTCTTTGACATTTCATTTATCTATAAGTAACTTGTACTGCTGAAACTGACAATTCCCCGTATAGAGCTGCTAAGAAACAGAAAAGAGATTCAGCTGAAGAATATGCGGCGTGATATTGCCAAGCTACTTCAGACTGGCCAAGAAGCCACGGCTCGAATTAGGTTAAAACTGATTTGCATATGATGTTTAATCTTGAATTTTTTTTTCTGTTTGAGAATTTTAAGCCAATGGTTCTGGACAGCAAGAAAATCATTTCGGTACTTTTTTCTTTGGTAGTTATGTTCTTCATGTGGTCTTCTGTGCAGGTAGAGCATATTATCATAGAGGAGAACATGATGGCTGCTTAAGAAATCATTGAACTCTTTTGTGAACTTATTGCTGTCAGCCTATGAAGGCCATATACTTAGTACGACATGGGTAAGATACAATATGGATATCGAGATATGACAGTTTTTTGAAATTTAGGATATGATACGTCTTGGATACGTTACTAAAAAATTATAGGAAAATTTATGTAGAAGTAGAATATTGGTAAAGAAATACACACTATCATTTCTCATTAATTCATAATCATGATGATTACAATTCACAAAAAAAAATATTTGAGATCATAACAAAAAAACATATAAAATATAGTTTCTGCTCATACCATAACCAACTTTAGTTCACTATATCAATAAAAGCATCTTTGATAGAACTTAAAACAAATATGAGCTCTATACAATAGCCTAGGACTCAAACATCATTACTAAATTATTGTCTAATGCTATTTGTATCACTCTCCTCTCCCCTTTACCATCATTTAGAAGCATAGCTTCTAAGTCTGATTTCTCCAGCGCGAATGCCGAAAGCCCGTTTGGGCCGGTGGCGACATTCCTCACGTTTTGATGATAACAAACAAAATATTTTCTTTTTAAGCAAAGTTAAAAATTTAAGAAGATGTAGCATATCGGACGAAATGTGGAAATTATATATTATCTGTAAGATGGAGAAAATTAGATGAAGCATACAATCTGTCAAATTGCATTAAACGTATACTTTCGAATGAGACTAACATTAAATTTCATTAAATTTGTTCTTCCTTAACAAATCGAACAAGAAAGATGTCTTGGAACTATCAAAATCTGTTAAAGAAGAAAAAGACAAAATATCCATCAGTTATGTGCTGACTTCAACTACTTTGCGCTAACATAGCTTCTGTCATGCTCAATTTAGAAGGAAATGATGATAAGTAGCTTGTTAGATCAAATAAGAGATACACATTTTGCTGAAAGAAATTTAATGCTTGCATTATATGCATCAACAATAATCTCTATATTCACAAAGAAGACAAACGAAGCAACTCGTGAAGGATATTGTAAGTTTAACTCAAAGTTGTTGTAATGGTCATTTTCTTTGAAGCTATTATAAAAAGATCAAGCCTTCAAACAACAAAAAAGAGAAGAGAAGAACACATAAAATATAAGTGATATAAGCAATACACATCAAGAAATCTGTATAGAGATACGTACAGAAATACATAGAGCTAAAAAACTACAAAGAAGCATTCTATTATAAATCTTGTACATATTTCTTTATATATTACTTTTGCTTGCATTGTTGATTACACCATGTCTAGAAGAGACAACAATCTTGTAATCATCCATTACCTTTATTATGAGGGTTGAGCCTGGATAGGCTTATGTAAAAGAATACTTAGTGTTGAGCTTGGAGAGACTTGTGTGAAAGAATACTTAGTGTTTGAACCTGGAGAGGCTTGTGTGAAAGAATACTTAGTGTTAAGCCTAGAGAGGCTTGGTTGAAAGAATACTTGGTGTTAAGCCTAGAGAGGCTTGGTTGAAAGAATACTCGGTATTAAGCTTGGATAGGCTTGTTATTCAAAGAATACTTGGGTAGTTGCTTGAAGAGGTAAGTCAAAGACTACTTAGGATTGAGCCAAAAATGGCTTCGTAAAAGAATACTTGTAACTTTGTTGAAAGTTAGTGGATCTCAATATGGTTAGATTGAAAACTAGACATAGTTTCGGTGATTGAGATGAACTAGTATAAAAATCTCTAATGATTCATCTAACTCTTCTCCAATGCTTCGTTTGATAATTATTTTCTTTTCATTGCACAAACATGTGAATTTTTTATATACACTATTCAATACCCCTTCTAGTGTGTGTCATTCCTCCATAGGATGAGAGAACACAAACAAACCAACACCGTAAAAAAATAGAAAAAGATCACACAATTTATTTAATGTGGTTCGACCCTTCATGCCTATGTCCACAAGGATGTTCATTATATATCTCAAAATGTATTACATATATATCCTAAAAATCCCCCCTTTAAGTTTTGTGGGTTAAATTTGAAAACCTCTCCCACACAAGTTTTATGCGTGAAACTTGGAAACCCCTCCTCACAATTTTTTTAGGCAAAAAACTTGGAAACCCTCCTTCATATGACATTTTGTCTCATTTAAGGTGGTAAGGTCCTTTACAGGCCAGGTGATTTTTCTCATATCAACAGCTTGTATTTATTGACCTAACATCCTAATCTTAAAAAAAGGAAACAAATCTCTAAAATAAATACAATATTTTTAATTCTAAACAATATCCTAAAGACAAATAATATATGTTTATACGAGAATAATATCTTAGAGATTTGAAATTGAAAACTTGAATTATTTTCCCCATAGTTCGCCCCAAAACCAAACCGTACTAGGAAAAAGTACTTGCTCTGATATCATTTGTAACACCCATCAAAATTGACATCCTAGTGGCTCCACTCCTTGGTACTTCACATGGTGACACTTCACACAATTTCTCATTGGTAAAAATCCTTCACCAGTTAAAACCCTCTATGCATAGCCCACTTTAAGAAGTTTGGTTGCCTTTAGAATTAACAAATGTCCCCACAAATTAACATAAGACTTTTCAGCATTCTTTGTCCTCATTCACACGCTTTCTAAGAAACTTTCTAGAAGGTCACCCATATCTAAATCACTCCAAGTCAAATATGCTTAATTGTGGAGTTCTTAAGTGATGAGTTATCAAAAACCAAATGCGTTTTATTGGTATAGATAGTACAAATTAATTTTTTTTGTCATCTCCAACTACACAATCTCACACTTATACAACTATTTGGATTTCTTTCATTTTGGTGTGACTAGGCTACTATAAATATGATCTGATCCATTGAAAGAAAATTAACCAATCATTTCTAACAAATGCATCATCGATGAATCATGAAATTAGAACCGTAATTCAAAATGAAAAATAAAGAATATTAAATAAGAAAGGGATGAATAGACCCCACTATCCAATAGATTGATGAGTCGAAGAAGATTTTCCACAAAGGCAATTCCCTTTGATAAGAACCAAGAGAAAATTTGTCTCTAAGAGATGAAAATATCATTCACTTAACTTCCAAAAATTCCTTACATGTAATAGGGAAGCCTACTGTTTTTGGAGATTTTCGTTTGTAGGTTCTTTTTATTCGAACTAGCACGATTTCAATTTAGGCGTGTGTGTGGCATGATAGGTTTGAAGACTTTTAGTGGTAAATCGTACAAGCAACAAATAGAGTTAATTGATTAGGGTGTTTTTTTAGCATAACAAAATATCTATGCTAATCATACAATCAATCACACGCACATGAATGTTGATATGAATCGAATAAACGACATGTATATTGACTACAGAAATCATATCCTTCATTTGATGATAACAGAATTACAATTTGTAAGGATAACGAAACAGATTCAGAAGACTACACTAAACTATGCTACGCCACACTATGCTAAAAAGGAAAAAGAAATGGTGGTCGAGAAATCGTACCAAGCCTTCTCGTGCACGTGAGCCATATGCGCAGGCGAAGAATGCGTGTGAGGTGTTGTGAGTGTGAGATTTCTGACCCTTTTCTACGAGCATGGTGTAGACCCCTAAAATTGTCCGGGTCGGAAATAAGACTCGAAGACTCTCAAAGATCGAAGGGAAGTCAGCCAGAAGGACTCCTAGAAGACCATAGGATGACTATCTGTAGGTTTAGAGGTCTTAGAGTAGCTAAAAATAAGGAAGTGGGAAGATTGGAGCTCAATACGGCCTCCTTGGAGTTCAGTACGGCCGTACTGCACATTTTGAACTACAATACGGCCGTACTGAAACCAATACGGCCGTATTGAAGTTTTTGAACTTCAATACGGCCGTACTGAATTCAATACGGCCGTATTGAAGTTCAAAAACTCAATACGGGCCGTATTGAACCCAGGGGCCGTACTGCGCCTCATCCCTATAAATAGGACGTCATTTGGACGTCATTCCACACTTTTCCACACTTCTTGGACTCTCTCCTTGAGTATTCTGGGGTTTTTGAGCAGTGTTCTGCCCTAGAATTCTCTCCGAGAGCCGATCCGACGAAGTTCTTGAGTTCTGAGCATTTAGCTTGAGAATTCGAACTAGTCGAAGGGAAATCTTTTTGATTTCCATAGTAAAGATTAATTTTTAGGGAAGGAGCGAGCGAGCGTGTAGTGGGAGGGAGCGCCAAAAAGCCTCCTAACATCTGTTTAGATATATAAAAGCACGCTTCAAGAGGTTTTTCTTAAAATCCCTTCTTTTATTGCTTTCTGATTGTCGCATATTTAATTTTGTCATCATGTAGATATTTAATTTATAATCGTTTATAATAAATAGGGGTAATTTAGTAATTTTGCACTGTTATTTATGAAATAATCCGTCATAGGGAACCCGAAAGGGGCGTTGTGGGGTGCTAACACCTTCCCCGCACGTAACCGACTCCCTTACCCAACTCTGGTTGTAATGGCCAAGGTTGATTTATAAAATCAATTGCCTTAAATCTTTTTCCAATGTTTTGAGTAAAACATTGGTGGCGACTCCAAGAACCCTACCTTTTGCGAAAACCACTAATCCATGGAGGGTCTCGCTTGAGATTAACATGGATTGGTGAATCATTTAATAAAATTGTTAGCTCGACAAGGTCTCAGTTTGAGAATAAGTCGTTCTAGCAATCCACCACTTTTCAAACCTTTAAAAAGAGTCCGACCATCGTCGCGAATTCCAAGGTCCGTTTCGGCGGGTGGCGACACATGGCTCGTCAATTTATAGAGATTTGGGGAAAAATAAATGTATATGATGTGCCCCAAATGCGTAAGCGCTCTAAACCTCCACATCATGGCTCATTTTTGGGCACGTCTTTTGATAACTTCTGGAACCGCTTATAACTTCCCCAAACCGTTCTGCAGTCTTGACACTTATCCCTCGATTTACTTCAACCTCTCTTAATCGTGTCTCCCCTAAGTTCTTCATTCTGAGAGGTTACGAAATATGCTCATGTATGTCCGGATCCTTGGGATTTCGAGTGACCTACAAAATGTATACTTGAGTGTTTCCTGATTCTTCTTGTACTTTGAGAGGTTGCGAAGCTGTGAGGCCTTTACGTGAGTAGCAGCTTCAAGGTTCAAGGCTTTCGAGTGTTTCACGAAAAGTGTCTTCGC